TGTGTGTGTGTGTATATATACACACACACACATTTTACAGCATATATTGAGCAATGGTTAATTTTTTTTTCTTTATCATTGAGGTAATTTGCCTTATTATAGTAACTCCTTCGTTCTTTTAATGTTTTAATTTCTCTATATAGTTTATAATTAAATGCACGTCTTCTGTCATTTCCATAACTTATCCAAATAGCAAATATTACCTTTTCTTTAACCAATCATACCAAATGTTCCATATTTCATAATAGTCACTCTCTTGTTTATTTTTTAACAATTTGGTTAGGCTATCCACCTCAGCATATTCATGTATTTTTTTAATTACCATATCCTCTGAAGGAATGAAAGACAGTTTCCAGTTTTGTGCGTAGGTTATTCTGGCCGCAGTTATGATGTGCAAAATTAAATATTGATATTTTTTCTTCATGTTTAAATCTATCATACTTAGCAGAAAGGTTTTGGGTTCAAGTTTTAAATTTTGTTTTGTTATATTTAAAATCCAATTTCTAATATTTCTCCAAAACTTCTGAGCACATGGGCAAGTCCACCACATGTGAAAATATGTTCCTTGTGCGTAGTTACATTTCCAACAGTTGGGTGGTGGGTTGGGGAACATCTTAGCCAGTCTCGCAGGAGGTAGGTGCCAGCGATGAACCATTTTGTATAAGTTTTCTTTCTACGAGACTGACATGGTTAATTTGTAATTTGTTTGCCAGATGTGTTCCCACTTATCTAATTCAATACTATGACCCACGTTTTTAGCCCAAATTATCATAGATTCTGAGACTATTTCTTCTTTTAATTTGTAATCCAAAAGATATGTTTTACTAATTGTTTTCTTTTCCTCTCCTAGCTATATTTTATCTAATTATTGTGGGGTCATAATAAAGCCAAATTGTTCTCTATCTTTTTTATAATGGGTTTGATTTGTGCAAAGGGCTACCATGCTATCTCCTTTCCTTGAATTTGTATTTGGTTCCTATTTTTAAGCTCTCCAAGTATCATATAGTAAATTTTATACCTGACAATATTTTCATAATCCAATAGATTTGGATATGTGATTGCTTCCAATGTAGATAGCCACAGTGGAACCTTTGAGTAGTGTTTTTTTTAATCTTTCCCCAGATATTGAACAACACATTTCTCACATGGTGCCTTTGGAAATATGAATGTTGTTTAGATTTTCCATCCCACATGAAGGCGTGCCAGCCAAGTTGGAGATCAAAACCTTCTATAATACTAAAAACCTTCTATTTTCTAATTTAACCCAATCCTTAAGCCAGTTTACTATAGCAGCATCATAATATAATTCAAAATCTGGAAGGCCAAATCCTCCTTTTTTCTTGGCATCCTGTAATAATTTATATTTCACTCTGGGTTTTTTCCTCTGCCATATAAATTTAGATATACATTTGTTTAATTCTAAAAAAAAATTCTTTTCCAACTTGATTGGCACTGTCTGAAACAGGAACAACAGTTTTGGCAAAATATTCATTTTTACTATCGAAATACATCCCAATAGCGACAACTGCAATTTGGCCCAATTATCTAAATCTTTAACTATTTGCATTAACTTATCATAGTTATCTTTTTTAATCGACAAACATCTAGCAGTCAACCAGATCCCTAAGTATTTTACTTTATTTACCACCCGCATACCTAATTTATTTGCTAGTTCTTCCTTCTGCTCCTTTGTACATTTTTTTGTTAACACTTTTGTTTTTTCTTTGTTAATTTTTAACCCTGCCACGTTTCCATATTCTTCTTTTTCTCTTAGTAGTATAGGGCTCATTTCTAAGGGTTCTTCTAATATAAATGCCATATTATCGGCAAATGCCTGGAGTTTATATTCTTTTTAAATTTTTAGTCCTCTAATCTCTTGATTTTGCCTGATTTGTACTAAGAGAGTCTCTTCTGCCAATATATACAGTAGAGAAGCTAGGGGGCAGCCTTGTCTTACTCCCTTATTTATCTTTATGGTATCTGTATTTTCCCCATTTATTAATATTTTTGCGGTTTGCATGTTATAAATTGTCTTAATAAATCCTATAAAATTTTCACCAAATTTCATACCTATCACTTGTTTAATAAGGAAGTTCCAATTCAGGTTGTCAAAAGCCTTCTGGGCATTTAAAAATATCAATGCCATTGTCTTGGTGGAGTATACTTCATAATATTCTAATATATCCATAATGGTTCTTGTATTTGGTTTTATTTGCCTATGGGGGAGGAAGCCATTCTGATCAGTGTGGATAATTCTACTTAATACTCTCTTTAATCTTTCCGCCAATATTGTAGCCATTATTTTGTAATCTACATTTTAAAGTGATATTGGTCTATAGTTTTGAATTTTTTGTGGGTCTGGTTATTCTTTATAAATAAGGGTAATACATGCTTCCAACCATGATTTAGGCATGTTAGCATTCTCCAGGGCTTCATTGTACAAGCCATTGTTCATCTCTATTGCTTCTTGGAATTCCTTATAGAATTCTGAAGGAATTCCATCTGGACCAGGGGTCTTATTTGCTTTTTGTGTTCCAATTGCCTTCCTAATTTCTTCTATAGATATTTTATTATTCAAATTTTGCTTCTCTTCATCAGTAATTCCGGGCAAGTTCTTTTCATTCAAATATTGATCAATAGATTCTTCTGGTATTTCTTCCTGTTTATACAATTTCATAAAAAAAAACCTTAGCAATTTCTTTCTTTTCTTGGGTCTGCGTGCATAATTTCCCTTCCTGATCTTGGAGAGCTACGATCGTTCTCTTTTCTTCTTCTTTTTTAATTTTATGGGCTAAACAGCTCCCCGGCTTATTTGCATTTTCAAAATAATTTTGTTTTGCTAATTTAATTTTTCAGGCCAAATCTTACTGTGCATTTAAATTTATTTTATGTTTTACCAGATCAATTTCTTTCTTAATGTTTGAGTTGTTTGGGTCCTTTTGTCTACTTATTTCCAAATCTTTCAGTTTCTCCCTCCATATGTTTTGTTGCTATCTTTTTTCTTTATTCTTTTTTAGTACTATAAGCAATAGTTAGACCTCTCCCATAGGCTTTGGCCGTATCCCAAAGATTCTGTAGAGAGGTATGTTCTCTTTTGTTTATTTCAAAAAATACATTCAATTCTTTCTTTATCATATTCTTTATCTCTTAAAATGGTATTGTTAAATGTCCATCTTCCAATTTTTCTCTTTCCTTTCCATTTAATTTGAATGGGATTATGGTCAGCCCATAGACTTGGCAAAATCTCAATCCTTTCAATATTCTCCATTAACCCAGGGTCCATCCATATCTGATCTATTCTGGACCAAGAGTGGTGGGGGTTCGAAAAAAAGGTTTACTGTTTTTTATTTGGATTTAATTCTCTCTACACATCTTTCAAGTTAAGTTCTCTTATCATATTATTAAAAGACAAAGGGAGTATTCTCCTTTCCTTTCCTTTTTTTTAAGTTCTATAATCTTTATCTTTGTCTGGGACTGCATTATAGTCTCCTACGATGCATACATTAGCATACTAAAATTCTATTATTGTATGGTGAAGCCTATTATAAAAGTCTTTTTGGTTTGTATTCGGGGCATATATTGTGACTAATAACATCTTTGTTTGATTTACATTTATTTCTATAAAGAGCATTCTCCCTTCTTGATCTTTGTATATTTATGTTGCAACCAATCCTTTACATATACTACAATACCCCCTTTTTTTGGTTTGCAAGTGCCAAGTACATTTTACCCAAATTTATATTCTT